CCACTCAAGCATTTTTCCTACCTTCACACTAGCATAGTTCTCGGTTTGTTTCAAATATTTGATGACCTTTCAGCTGATTATTTGAAGTTTACAATATCTTATGCAATTAGAGTGCTCATTGATAGTACATTCATAACGCATATCTTGAAGTACAGAATTTCATGGATCACATAAAAATGCTGATGAAGTACTGGAGAGAAACATAGATTAGTGCCAGATTCTACCTGTTCAAATACTAGATCCATAAGTTACTGAATGCATAACTTCGAATGAATACATTAACTTTTTGTGCCTTAGTTTCCCCATCTATACAATGAAAATGATAATCCTATTTACTGCAAGGCTTTTGTTATGAGAATTGAATAAAGGAAATATTTGTAAAGTGCTTAGCAGAATGCCTGGTAAGTCATAATACATACATGAGTATTTACTAAGTAATCAATGTTAAAACACACACACACACACACACACACACACACACACACACACTAAACCACATAACTTCATAGCAAAGCAATTCAAAATGAAGTAGAATGATTCAAAACTAGAGAAAAACCGAAGGCTCTTGACAGGATAGAAACAAAAGCAGATAATGATTTGATGATCACAGAAGTTGAGAAGCATTTGCAAAAATAGATGGAAGTGCAGGATTATTTTCCTTTAAAAAAGAAAAAGAGTGGCCATTTTTCTTACTGGGCGGCTCACATCGAAGATGAGTGTGTGGTAGCTGGCTTCTCAGATGGCACCCAAGAAGCCCCACTTCCTAGTATTCACACCCCATGCCATCCCACCTCCCATATTTACCAGGGTGGGTCTGTGCAACCGAGAGTGGGAGGGATGGTATGAAACTTCCAAGATCAGGTTGTAGAAGACACAACCTGCTTCCTTCTTATTCATCTCATTGCCCTTCAGTCAGTCTCTCCAGTCTCTCCCGCTGGGAAGACAGTTGTCTTCCCACAGCAGCTCTCTGGGGGAACCTGGGGGAAGGATCTGAGTGAGGCCTTTGTCCAAAAGCCCAAGAAGAACCAAGGACTCCTGCTAGCAGGAGCTTGAAATCGAACCCTCCAACCCTAAGATACCTTCCAATGACTGCAGCCACTTTGACAACTTGCCTGCAACCTGTGACAGAGGCTGGCGAGGTTGCTCCAACCTGCTCCACCAAAACTGTGTGAGATACTGAATGATATTATTTTTCAGCTACTGAGTTTGGGGTTGTGGTGCAGTGATACATTATTAATATAGGATTAATATAGGAGTATGATATTTTGCAAACTTACAGAATAAAATTACACCTCCTATTTTTTTGTTTTGAAAATTAGCAGATACTTGCAAGTTTCACTGATTATTCCTTCTATCTTAGTTTCTCTTCCCCAAATATCTGAATATTTCACTCTCACCTCCTTTAAGTCTTTTTTCAAAGACCTAAGTCTTATCTCCTTCTCAAAAAAAATTAAAAAAATTAAAAAATTAAAAAAGGCCAAAAGGCACATGAAAACATGCTGAAAGTCACTAATTATCCGAGAGATGCAAATCAAAACAACAATGCGGTACCATCTCACACCTGTCAGAATGGCCAACATTAACAAATCAACAAATGACAAATGTTGGCGAGGTTGCAGAGAAAAAGGAACCCTCTTGCACTGCTGGTGGGAATGCAGACTGGTGCAACCACTGTGGAGAACAGTGTGGAGTTTCCTCAAAAAACTAAAAATGGAACTCCCATTTGACCCAGAAATCCCACCCCTAGGAATATATCCCAAGAAACTAGAAACACCAATCAGAAAGGATATATGCACCCTTATGTTCATAGCAGCACAATCTACAATAGCCAGAATTTGGAAACAGCCTAGGGGCCCGTCAGCAGATGATTGGATCCAAAAACTATGGTACATCTACACAATGGAATACTATGCTGCCATAAAAAAGAAGGAATTTTCATCATTTGCAGCAACCTGGATGGAATTGGAAAACATCATGTTGAGTGAAATAAGCCAATCAATGAAAGAGAAACACCACATGACCTCACTCATTTATGGATAATAAAGAACATTATAAACTGATGAACCAAAAGATAGATATAGAGACAGTAAAGCAACAAGCAGACTGTCAAATTACAGTGGGGAGGGGAGGGAGATGTGGGGGAGATAATAGATCTTGTATACATGCATGTAAGTATTATACAACCAATGGACATAAAACTCTGAGGAGGGAGGGTATGTATGGGAGGGAGAGAGGGGGGCAAAAAAATTCAATAAAATATATTTTTTTAAATAAAAAAATAAAAAATAAAAATAAAAATAAATTTTAAAAAAAGACTTATCTCCTTCTCAGTGAGGTCTATCCGTAACACCTGATTTAAAATTCAACCCCAGCCCTCCACACTCCTGATTCTTCTTATGCAATTGTATTACCTGATAATACTTCTACTAATTTTTCTGTGCATCCTTTTCACTGGATGTCAGCTCCATGAGGGTGGAAATTTTGTCTCTTTAATCATTCACGCACTAATGGATCTTCATTATGTAGAACAATTCCTGACAATTAATAGGTGGTCAATAAGTATTTGTTGTTGTGAGCTTAGGAAGTAAATTTAGTTCCATGGGCTTTTTTACAGTTCCACTTATGCTTGGGTAAGGATGACTGCCTTTTACTAAATTTTCCGACTCAGTAGGTTGTCGATAAACAGTAGCTATGATCTGAATGCAAACCTTTGGTTTTTATTTTTATTTATTTATTTTTTTAAGGTATTAGCACCAAGTAATAGCTAGGTACAGAAGACTACCGAGATGACATGAACAGATCTGTGAACTTGCTGTCTAAAGAAATCTTTATCACTATATATTCCAAGAACATGCATCTCCTCAAACAGGCATGTACAAAAGCTTCCTAGTCTTTACTTTCAATGCCCAGAACAAATGTACTTTATTTTATTACCAATTTTGCATCAGATAATAGCTGGATTCGTGGTACCTGGGTAAACACTACAGAGATAAATCAGATGATGGTTCTAAAAAGTTTAAGAGGGTCATGACAACAATTCTGAAGACTTCTGGGAACCTTGTATAGAAAGGATTATAAAAAGGCCCAGTAGAGCTGTTTTCATGGATCTGTGGCCTGAGCAGTCACACAGAACCCAGTGCTTAGAAAGACACAGCACTTAGTTTAAGATTCTCTGTTCCTGTCTTGGAATTCTTAATGATATAGGAAGAAGGAGCCTAATTTTCATTTTACGAGTATGCTAATTATGCAGCTGGTCCTGAGGTCCAATAATATTAAACTGGCTACCTATTGTTCAAGGAAATAAGCAGAGATGCAATGACCAGAAAGGAATATAGAATTCCTTTGAGGCAGATACCCCAGCCCTCTTCCCAGTTCCCCTTGTAGGAGGAAAACTGGAGAAACAGGAGCAGAAGCGAGTGGTGCATTTCTTGAAGCTCAGTGGTGGCCTCTGCTACCAGCAGCAGCCACAGCCCCTGGGAGCTTATTAGAAAAGCAGAATCAGGATTCACTCGAGAACCACTTCCTGTGCAGAATTTGCATTTCCTGTGCACTCTATTTTTTGCATTGTTTCTTTTAAAAATTATTCTATTTCAATTACAGTTAACACTCAATATTATTGTGTGATTGTGTCTTATGCACTTTAAATTTGAGAAACAGAGCTACTGTTTCAAGAGCCATTTGAGGGCCTGTGACAATGGGCATTTGAAGTCACCTAGTCTCTTCAAAAGGGGTTTTCTCCCCTCCCACCAGAGCATCCTCAACCTGAGCTGCTGCCAGTGTTACAGAAAACCCCGGAGAAGAGTTACATTTCTTACACTCGGGTCTAGAGGAAAATGTCTCAAATTCTGGGCCCCAATGTGGAGCAACTTTCCCTATTTGTATGTTTCTACCTTCTTTGTCTCCCAAATATGGGGTGTTTCTGGCCCCCTTTGCAAGTTCTTAAAGAGCCCTATGTGCTGGGGCCTTGAGACCTCAACCAAGGCCTGGCCTGGTTCCAGCACTGATAATTTCATCCGGGGATGGTTTAATGGCCCCTGTGAAGCGGGAGAAGTCTTATTTTCCTTATTATTTAAGCAAGCATGCATTTATAGAAGCCAACTAGCAGGGTTGAAATTTCAAACAGCAGTTTTTATATAAGATGGATGTTTCACCAGATTGGATGTTAACTGATTTGAACATTACTTTTTTCCTTTCTGTGGCCCATTCTCTAGGATTGGGTTTATGTGAAGTGAAAATGTTTTTTTTAAAAAAATAATAAAAATAAGAAGAAAGCATGAAAATAGGATATTCAAAACTAAGCCGAGCAGGTGGAAAGCAGTGTAACAATAATAAGATGGGGGTGGGATGCCTTAAGAATAAAACAAACAGCTAACCCTGAGCACTGAAAATGTGCCAGGCATCATGCAGAGTGTTCTATGCGGGTTGCTTTATTTAAATTCCACCACAAATTTAAGAAAGAGATACTGTATCTTCCTGTGCATCTGGAGAAACAGACTTTGAAAGTTTCGAAATGGCTGTCAAATAATAAATCAAGAAATTGGGCACTATTTCCACAACCGCACATTTTTTTTTGCAACTGACAGAAAACAAACATCTGCTCAGTAAGTATCTCCTTGTAAATTCGCAAAGCATTTCAGAGTTAGTTTCTGAGCAGGACGGGAGGGACCACTGCAGACCCAGCAGGATGAAGGTCAGGTTAAGGTCAATGACTGCCTGAATCTTTCCGTTTGAGATGAAAGGAAGACAAGTCCAGGACCTAATTCTGGACGTGCAGGCCACCCCAGTGTCCTGCACGAAGAAGTACTCCCGGGCTTTTTTCTAACAGATGGAGGTGAAGCCAGAAAGCACGTGGCCAAGTGCCTTATGCTTCTTCCTCCCAAAAGCAGGGAGAAACTCAACAGTGGGCATCTAAGCGGACTCCTAGGTACAGAGCATGGGGAACTGGGCGAGCGCCTTCCTTCAGCTCCAACACACACCCGGCCGTGCCGCTCCCGCCCCCCAAACCCCGTGGGAGGAGCCGAGGAAGCGAAAGGAAAGCCTCGGGGCGGGTGGCACCCGGGGCCTGGGGCGGGCATGGAGCTGCGGGCGCTCCGGCTGCTCTGCTGCTGGATCTGGTGCTGGTTCTGGTGCTGCGGCAGAGGCCTCGGAGCCGGTCCCGGTGCCACCTCCACCCCGACGGGACCTCGGAGCAGCGAGCAACAGGCAGCCGCCTTCCGGGTACCAAGCGCCCCCCTGTCTGTGTGCTGCTTTCCCGTCTTTTCCTGTCCTGGGTCTGGGCTGGGCCGAGGGGCCTCGGAGCGCGGAGATTCAGGGGATCCCCTCGCCTGCCTGCCCTTCTGGGACGCGCTGGGGTTGCACCCCCCAACTTCTCCCTGCGAACCCCCACGTGCCTGGCGCTCGCCCTCTCCCAGGCCTTTGCTAACCCCAAGATCTGATTTTCCAAAGACGTTCTGCCGCTGTGGATGTCTATGATCCGTCCCCAGTGATCCATGGATAGGTCCAAGGTCTTCTTGCTCAGAAGCTCCCCTGATGGCGAAACCCCTGGGCGGTCCTCACTGCCTCCCCTGCTGCCGCTTTTTGGTTACAGGAACCAGAGGCGTTAGAAACCCGCCCTGCTCCTTCCGGAGGGGGGCGCTGGTCAGTCACCTCCTTCTGCCCTCACAAGTGTCTCAGGTGCCTGCATTGCGCAAGCTGGGAGAACCTTGCCCATGTCTGATCTGCCTGAACAGGGGCTCCGTAGGCTCGTGCACCCGCTTATTAAAAGTTCGCCTGACTTGGTGGAGATGGGTTTAGAGAAAGGCAAAGCACTGATTTCTTCTTCAGATTGTTTTGAAAAGGCTTCATCAATAAGGTTTAGGTTTTACCCCAGTATTAAAACTCTGGAACAGACAGGTAGCCCAATATAAATAAGGTTGATTAGAGAGTTTTAAGACAAAATGTTGATTGAAGTCAAAACGACATATTTTTTCCTGGTTTTATAATCATAATTTCCTCAAGTTCTTCGGCCCTGGGACCTGGTATGTCTTAAATGAAACACATTTAAGTCAAAACAAAGGGGAGGGGGATTAAAAAAAAACATGTAAAGATATTTATTTTTCATCATGTCTGTTTAAAGGCTGTTTTGATTGACCAGGTCCCAGATTCCTAGTATGTGATCCATTTGTTTTTCAAACTTTTGCACCTTTCAAAACTGCTAATGTGTTTCCTGTGTATTCTGCAAAACTTAATGTCTTTTTTTATTTTTATGTTTGATTACAGTTGAAATTCAATGTTATATTAGTTTCAGGTCTACAGCATAGCGGTTAGACATTTATATAACTCAGGCTAATTCCTGCACCCACCTGAAGCCATATTGTTATTAGACTATTATCGACTATACTGTACTTTACATCCTCAAGACTGTTTTGTAGCTGCAAGTTTGTACTTCTTCATCCCTTTGCCCTTTTCACCCTGCTCCCCAACCTCCCCTCATCTGGCAGCCCAGGGGAGCTAAACTAAAAGCACATAAGCACTGAGCTCTCAGAATCAGCCTCTGAGGGTGTCTTGCAAGACATTACTGTTCGAACAAGTTCTGCTGCTCTCAGCAGTGGCAACACCTTTACATCTGTTCTTTCATAAATGAAATTAAGGTTCAAGTCCTTCATTTTAATATTTTATACATTTAAATATTCAGAGATATTTACTATAGAGCTGATCCCTGTTACATCCTCCATTCCTTATGTTAAAAACATATGCTAATTTGTCGGTCTGTGGACTGAAAGGTCCCAGGTTCGATTCTGGTCAAGGGCATGTACACATTGGTTGAGGGCACATCCCCGGTAGGGAGTGTGCAAGAGGCAGCTGGTCGATGTTTCTCATCGACGTTTCTAGCTCTCTATCCCTCTCTCCTCCTCTCTGTAAAAAATCAATAAAATATATTTTTAAAAAAACAAACACATATGCTAATTGATCCTTTCCTATGCTGATTTTATGACAGGTTGTTAATAGGATAATGAGTTGGAGCTCAATATAAACTCACCTTTTGTGATGAGAGGAAGATTGGAAAGTGCCTTAGACTGCTGTCTAGGATAGGAGAAGTCGTGAGGAACTCATCATTCAAAAACCAGCTTTCGGTGGAGTGCCATGTTTCCCCAAATAGGCCAGTCTTACTGCTCCGTCATTGACTAGGGCAGCCTGTGGGAACCTTGTTTTTCCTGAGTCTCCTGATAATTCAGAAGTTAAACTCCCTGTGGATGGAGGTCTGAGAGGCCCATTCTCATGGCTGCCTTCTGCTCTCTTCGTTCTTAAAGTCCCACATTCTCAATGCCTTTCCCAGTTACTTCAGCTCACAAGGATGGCCAATCAAGACTTGCAGAGAAAAATGAAGCCTCTGAATTACTTAGCAGTAGCCATCTATGGCTTATATTGGTTACTTAATGTATATCGAATTGCTTTGCATTCCAGTTCTGTCCTTTGTATTTATACCTCTCCTCCAAATTATAGTCACAGCTCTGATTCATCAGGATTCTTTTTAAATGCCTGAATCTCAATGACTGTTTATTTTTTTATTTTTTTTAATATATTTTATTGATTTTTTACAGAGAGGAAGGGATAGGGATAGAGAGCTAGAAACATCGATGAGAGAGAAACATCAACCAGCTGCCTCCTGCACAGCCCCCACCGGGGATATGCCCGCAACCAAAGTACATGCCCTTGATCGGAATCGAACCTGGGACCTTCCAGTCCGCAGGCCAATGCTCTATCCACTGAGCCAAACCAGTTCCGGCTCAATGACTATTTATTATTGACTGGCAATTCTTCCATGCATGTACAGTAAAGAAGAAATAAGATTATGAATATTTCCAGAGATAATTTGCTTAAAAGTAAACACCTTAAAGCTATTAAGGACATGGTGTACCTAAACGGTCATTTATATACTTATTCAGCAACAGGTACTAATTAAGCATATATTGTGTGCCAGGCATGTGGGGAATACGGTGATAAATGCCAGATAGGCATTGTTCTCATTTTGCTTATGGGTTTAAGAAATAGACACACAATAAACAGATAAAAGCATAAAAAATATAGAAGAAATAGGGTTTGAAATGTACAAAATGGGTGGTCCCTTTAATATTTCATTTATGCTGCACAATGGGTAGTACGAGGAAATTGAGGCATGTTCATGTGAAATACTTGATTATCACAAACACTGAGAAATCTGTAAATAATGGTCATAGTTTCCCTCCAGATAGGCAAACAATGGTCTACCTTCCTAGATCATTCCAGAATTCCATCTCACAAAGCTTTGTGCCCTAAATGAGATAGGGATTCTATAAAGCTCAAATACAACGGGTTTATTTGTTATTTCCTCATTCCCTTTCCCATGTTTCATTCCTTAGTGCTCAGAAATGCAAAGATAAAGAGGACATACTTTCCAAATACATAATTGCTTCATTGCATGAGTGTCTCTTGGTGACTGTTTCCACTAGTACATAGTGCTTATTTGCAATTTATTTTCTTGTTTCTGCTATGTTAAACAAACATATGTTTAGTGCTCTCCATGCTTACTGGGAACAAATTACAAATGGGTAAGATATATCTTTCCCAGTCTCAAAAATGTCCCTGAAGTCAGATAGCAGTTCTAACACAAAGCATTTATTCATATGGTCTCATTATCTTATACAACCTTTCATTGTGATCTGCCACAAATAAGTCAGAGTTTGACTGTTACACCTGAAGAATATCTCCAAGTTAGTTATACACAAATTGCTTTGGAAAGTTAACATAGGTGATATAAATTACCTTTTTTTCTTTTCTTTTTCCTTTTAGGAAAGTCGTAATAGACATCGATACTTGAATTCTTTATTTCCTAGAGAAAACTCCACTGCCATCTATGGAATAAATCAGTTTTCATATTTGTTTCCTGAAGAGTTTAAAGGTATGATGTAGTGATGCCATTAGTTGATTGGTTTCCTGGATTTTAACTTGTTTCCTTAATTTTTGAGGAATTTTTTACATGATATGTCACATCATTTATTTATTTATTGTTTTTTCATTTTTTTTAATTAAGGTATTATATGTGTACACATCTTACCATTGCCCCACCCCACCTCACTTCCATACTTCCATACATGTCCTCACCCCCTAGAATTTTGCATGCATTGGTTGTGCTTATAAGCATGCGTACAAGTCCTTTCGTTGATCTCTCTTTTTTTTTTTTTTTTTTTTTTGGTTGATCTCTTATCTCCCCCACCTCTCCCTAACCAGTTGACAGTCTGTTTGATGCTTTACTGTCTCTGTATCTATCTTTTTGTTCATCAGTTTATAATGTTCTTTACTATGAGTGAGATCATGTGGTATTTTTCTTTCATTGACTGGGTTATTTTGAGGAATTGTTTAATTGTGAATCTAGAACATTGAGTAATAGTTAATAATTTATTAAACACTTACTAGGTATCAAGCATGGACCAGGTGCTGACAAAATAATAAATTCAAATTCACTCTTTTAATTATTACTTAAGAACAAAATATTATACACATAGGCAGTTCCATGTTGCTGTAAGGGACAACGAGCACCTTATTCCTTCTGCTGTTTTTATTGCTGTTTCTATTCAAGTTACCCATGATTCCATGGGTCATGATAAAACAAATGATACCAATTACAATCAGTTCCATTATTGACTTGGTTCTTTCAAACAAGTAATTTTCTGTGGCATCTTCAGCCCTATTGTAGGAATTCTTATCTTCTATAGCTTTCAGTTGACTGCGTTTCATGTTATGGAAAAGCACATAGAAAAATCATAAATGGCAGGCTCTCCTACAAAACTACTGTTTCTTTTTAAACGTTCCCCCAAAAAAGAACCCCAAGGGGCCCTTTCTATAATATAATATTGTTGTCTTTTCCTTTCATATTTCTACTCAGCTATTTACTTAAGAACCAAAACTTCCAGATTTCCCCGCTACTCCCCGGAAGTATCAATGCTCATCTCCAACATGTCTTTGCCATCAAGATTTGACTGGAGAGATAAGCATGTTGTAACACAAGTGAGAAACCAGCATGCGGTAAGTTCTAAGATTTCGTTCTTTTTTAATCATCTGAGCATGGAGAGTAACCTTTGAGGTCAAGTTCACTTAGACTTGCAATGGAATTCTTCATTCCTCTAGATAAAATCATACCCCACTCATTCAAAAAATGGCAGTAAAATGAGACTCTGTTTGCGTGGGAGGCAGATGTCAAAATACGCCTTTTTTTCTGAGATAAGCCTTCCTTGGTGTATTATTTCCCTAATGACCATTGTCATCAGCACACTGGCTCAGGGTTCTTCCCCTTAGCTGTGTCACAGTTACCAAACCTTCTGTGGAGGGCTGGAGAGGGTAAACTTGACTACTCAGTGAGAAGTGACACTGAAAAAGTAGCAGGATACTAGATACACTAACCAGCAGTGTGGCATGGTCTCTTAAGTTCTCAGGCCTCATCCCTTGAGCTCCAGTGAAAAACCCTGTCCCCTAAAGTATCATAGGTTTTTTATCTGTGACACTTAGAAATGCCGTCTATTTTGCTGTAATGTGACATATACTGACATTCCTAAAAATCACCATCAGTGCAAACCCCTGCAGTAAAAACAAAAGGTGTTATGAGATAAATTAGGTTAGAATACAGCATTAAAAAAATGTGTCATAATAAGTGACACACACACTTAAAAAAAAAAAAGAAGATAGTAAATTTGCAGCACAGGGAATGTCAGCTGACAGGAAAGTCAGTCACCTAACCACGTGGCTATAGTCTCAGTTTATCTGCAGTGGAAACCTCAACAGGTCATTCAACTTCCCTGGTTATTTTTTCCAATTACAGTTGACTTTCAGGTGTACAGCATAGTGATTAGACATTTATATAACTTAGGAAGTGATCACCTCACTAAATCTAGTACCCATCTGACAGTATGGCCGATATTCTGGACCTAGCAGTCTCCACCATTTATTTAGGGCAAGCATGTCAAATTCAAAGGTTAACATGTGCCAAATAAATAAGGTTTAAGTTTATGTGGGCTGAAAAAAAACACACAAAAGCTTCAATTTTCATAGAAACGTGCATTTATTTCAATAGAGACATGTTCAATACAAAGGGCTGAAATAAATGAGGAATTATTAACATAAAATAATAGAACATTTTAATAAAAATTAATATTTTTTCTTGAACATTAACTTACCAGATACTGAATAACTGCACAAATTAATAAGAGTAATGCAAATAAACTTATTTTTCTTGTTCTCCAAAGGTGAAATATTTCCTATTGTGCACACCAAACAAGTCAGACCAAGACTAATGATGTGGCAACTGATAAAATATTCGCTGCTAGTATTACTGGAGAGAAATGGTGCGCCTGTGTGTAAGGCATATAAGGGAAATGAATGCAACACTATATAGTAATTAGTCATTAGTGAATGTCACAGTTAGTTATTAATAACTATGTATAACATGATATTATAAAAATTGAGTTATGAAATTTTTATTAAAACGTTTCTTTACTTACTGTTATATTGGCTGGGATGCAAAAATAGTCATTGTGGACCACATGCAACCCACAGGCCATGAGTTTGACACTGTTGATTTAGGGTGATGCTTTATATTTCTCAGATTCTATGTTTATTGTTGACAATTAGATTTTACCAACAAATCATTTGCTTTGTTACTGGATTCATAATCAAGTGCAAAATAGTCTGACATCTAATCCTCCCAGTAGTGTCTGCATTGTATAAAAGGGGAACTTTTCATTAGGATTCTTTAATTAAAAGAGTGCTAGAGAGATATCTTTGAGCAGGCACTGCCTGCAGGGGAAGCCAAGGGTAGATTAACTAAAGCTAGCTATAGGTATGGCGTCAACAACCTGTTTTCACATTTCTCAGTGGATAAGGATTCTGAGGTCTAGTCCTCAGTGAATATTTTACTATGCCATAGGCACTAGAGATATGGACATAAATATGGCCACTTAAAGTCATGACTTTGCTCAAAACTTCACAAAGACACCTAGTTGTTCTTTCTTTGCCTAACTCTACAGCACATGGTCCTATGATTAGGATATTTCCACCCAATTCCAAATCTTGCTCTCATGGATCTATCTTTCTTATGTATGATCCTTGATACCATTTGCTCTTTCTCCCTCCTTTGTTTCATGACCAACTCTTTTATTCTTTTGTTGCAAGTAAATAGATCCAGAAACAGAAAGATTCCCATTTGAATAAGGAATGGCTAACATGGGTTTCTATCATTAGAACATTTTATGTGCATTTATAATTGACACATGCTGGCATCCTGATAGCCTGAAATGTAACTCATCAGCTCCTGTGTCCATCAAATAATGAGTATAACAGATAAGATATACATCTTCAATTTATCACCTCTCTTGGGGTGGAGATGGTGGATAACACAGAAGCATACTATCTGGGAAGAAACATAAGGGATTAGAGAATGGGATAGGAATTGGTATATTCTTAGAAACAGACATCATCTATTTAATGAACTGACTTATCTTTAAAATATGTTTGTTTTGCTGAAACCGGTTTGGCTCTGTGGATAGAGTGTCGGTCTGCGGACTGAAAGGTCCCAGGTTCGATTCCAGTCAAGGGCATGTACATTGGTTGCAGGTACATCCCCAGTTGGGGTTGTGCAGGAGGCAGCTAGTCGATGTATCTCTCTCATCGATGATTCTAGCTCTCTGTCCCTCTTTCCCTCACTTCCTCTCTGTAAAAAATATATATATATATATATATTTTAAAAAATAAATAAAATATGTTTGTTTTCTCATTCTCTAAGATGTGGTTTCATCTTGCATTGTCTCATTTATAATAATGATACCACCAATTTACTTGTAACTAATCACTGGATTTTGATACTTAAAAGAGAATTTTGGTTTTCTTTTCTTTTTTCCAATTTGGAAATTAAGAGGATGAGCATTTATGTTTTTGTAGGCCTCTAGATTCTGCCCACTTGATTTGATAACTTGTGATATTGAAAAATGTTGGTACACTTGGTTTGGACATTGATAATTAATCGTATTTTGTTTCTATTTTTAAACAGTGTGGAGGATGCTGGGCTTTCAGTGTGGTAGGTGCAGTGGAATCAGCATATGCAATAAAAGGGAAGCCTTTGGAAGACCTAAGTGTGCAGCAGGTCATTGATTGCTCATATAATAATTACGGCTGCAATGGAGGGTCTACTTTTAATGCTTTGAACTGGCTAAATGAGGTAACTAGTTTCTCAGCCTTTTAAATGCTTTGTTTTCTCTTTTGCTTAGTTAATGTGTGTTCCAAATTCTGACAATTTATTCTCGTTTACTAAATAATGTTTTTAGAAATTTAGATGACCAAAGCTTGAATTAATTAGATTTAAAAATGAATTGCTTCTAGGCAAGTCAACTATCAAGATCAAAGGTTAGAAAATCTTACCTGAGATCTGTTTTCCAAAAATTATTTGTTTTTTTCTGAACATTTCTTAATAGGTAAATGTGAGTGTGTGTGTGTGGGAGGGGGTGGGGGGCGGGTTGTGGGTTTTGTAGGTTTTTTTGCAGATATATGTCACACAGTGACCCAGAAAGGAGAGCATATGAGCATATGGTTACCCATTTCTATAGAATTCATGAATGTTAAGGTTAAAAGGAACAAAAAGACAGCTAATCTTATAACTCTGTATATAGATGAAGATGTGAGATTATGTTGCCAAATCAGTAGCTGAGCCAGAATTGCACCTGTAGTCCTCTGCTTCCCCTTGAGCATCCTTACCCAATATACCTCAGTGTCAGTATCCCTCAACATTCTTAGGATATTCTCTGACCTTGTCCTAGATCCAGCATCAGTTGTATGAAACTAGCTAGTGGAGGTGCTTTTATACTTTCTAAGAGGCTGTCAAGCTGTCAAGCTAGAGTTTCCCAAACTCAAACATCCTTCCTTTATTCGTTTGCTAGATTTGAGTCACTGAATGCCAAAAACTTCTCTATGTTATGAGTGACAATGAATTACCTGTCTTCTCCCCTTCATAAGCCCAAAATTCAGAAAAGGAGACTATGGATAAACAACTATAAACTAAGTGGCATATGCCAGATGAAAGGCAGAGAGAAGTGGATAGGAAAAATATTTGATCTAACCATTGCCTGTGTCTAAACCATTGTGCTGAGTGACTCTCAAGACTTACCGACATAGAACCAGTTGACCTATAATAACTTCATGAGAAAGATGATATGGCTTTATATTATTGGATTGTTAGAGGTCCAGGGAAGGAAGATCTGGGAATAATAAGAGTAAAGAGAACGAAAGCTAATGACTCTAATTACCTAGGCCAGTGGTCAGCAAACTCATTAGACAACAGAGCCAAATACCAATAGCACAATTATTGAAATTTCTTTTGAAAGCCAAATTTTTTAAACTTAAACTTTTTCTAATGTCACTTCTTCAAAATAGATTTGCCCAGGCCATGGTATTTTGTGGAAATTACACTCAAGGGGCCAAAGAGCCGCAAACTGGCTCACGAGCCGCAGCTTGCCAACCACTGGCCTAGGCTATCCATAACAAAGACCTAAAGATTGAATTTAAGAGCTTTTTGTTACCCGTAGAATACCCACATGATGAAGGTGTAGCCAAACTGAATCTTTTTATGACACATTACATCAAACTCTATTTAAAACAACTGCTTGACGGAGAACACTTTGGGTGATTGTTTTCTTTTAGACGCAAGTAAAACTGGTGAGAGATTCGGAATACCCCTTTAAAGAACGGAATGGCCTGTGCCATTACTTTTCTGATTCACATGCTGGATTTTCAATCAAAGGTTATTCTGCACATGACTTCAGGTAAATGTCTTATTCTACTGTGTTTTCCTTCCTATGTCCTAATTTATGATATATTGACTATTTGAAGTTGATAACTTGATTGAAAGCTTCACTGGATATTCATAATTTTTTTTCATACCTACCTTTTACTAGAGAGACTATGGATCACCATGGAGTGCTATGGATGCTGTGCATTAAATATGACCTACTGATGTTTCAAGGTGTCATTACAATAGAGATAAGCTTAAATTAGCACATTCAGATCCAATGACATGTATAATTTATATTTGCCACCTTCCTCTTACCAAATTTAGGTGTCATAATTACCATTAGTATATTTCAATCTTCCTGTTGAATCAATGGAAATTGCCTTGTATAGATGCTCCACCTAATTTCAAGCAGTCTGCTTATCAAGAAGCATTTTGGAACACCCTCTATGTTCCTTGCATTTTCAAGGTGTCAACTATACTAAAAGCATAAACTGAAACTTTGCATTAAAAACAATTAAGGCTGTATTACTGGAGGTTGATTGGGTAGCATGCCCTATATAAGCACAGGGGGGTTGGAAGATAGATAAGGATAGGCTAAGGAAGAGAATTTGTGTCAAAACTTGAAGGGCACTATGACTTTGGGCAGGTTCAAGGGAAACAATCATTAAAAAATGCTCTCAAAAGCCAGCAAGAGAACCATTGTGGCCATTAAATATAATGCAAGATAGGTAGGTGATCAGAGATGATAATGACAAAGACTCAACTAAAACCCTGCTTTATTTATTTATTGTTTAAAATATTGAGGAAGCTAAAAAATATATATATTTAAATATATATATATACACATATAATATATATATATATGTGTGTGTGTGTGTGTATATATATATACATATATATATATATATATATATATATATATTTTTTTTTTTTTTTTTAGAGAGAGGAAGGGAGAGGGAGAAAGAGATAGAAACATCAATGATGGGAGAGAATAATTGATCAGTGTGTCCTGCATGCCCCGCACTTGGTATTGAGCCCACAGTTGGGCACATGCCCTGACTGGGAATAAACACTGACCTCTTGGTCCATAGGTTGACTCTCAACCACTAAGCCAAACTGGCTGGGCTTTGCACAGTCTTTTGAAACGGAACACAGAGACATTAAATTAAATTCAGATGAGATGATAGACTGACCTCTAAGTTACTAGTACTGAATATAAAAGAATCTCTCCATCCAGATAGAGTCTGCCTGTGGGATATGAAGGGAATCAAGGTTGAAATTGGACCCTTGAGCCAGATGAAGCCCCTCTAAATAACATAAGTGGGTCAGAGGCTTGGCAGGTTGTCAACAGAGCTCTTGTCCACAGCAGGGGTGCTCGGGGGACTCTAGGAACCATGTACCAGAAAGTTTCAGTTCCACAGATGGCAGGCTGGGCTGGATCTCTAACAAAAGGTGCAGGGTCACTGAGTACAGAGGACAGCATCTCCTTTGTGGGCAAAGGTAATGCAGTTTCTGAAATGAGAAAGTGTGCCTCTGAGCTCTCAGTTCCTGAGAGTATAAGTGAAATGTGTGTGCAAGAAGGAATCAGATGTTCAAAATGTCACCAGAAAAAGATTCAGGGAATCCTTTGACATGGGTAGCTAATGGAGAAAGGAGGAAACAAAAGAATAAGAGGCAATAGTCTGAGGTGGAGAGTGAGAGAAAAAGAATGCAAAGGTCACTGGAATTGGGCCTGAAACAGGATTTATCCACCCTTTTGATTAAAAAAGAAAAGATCCCCAAAGAATCTCTGTATTTACAATGAACATTAAACTCTCTAATAATTCAGTGCCAAGCTAACTGTGATAGATGTGCAAGACCTTTCGTTGATTTATTCATTCACTCATCCAAATTGCTACTGAACACTGTTGTAGGTTATGGGGTCTGGCAGTGAATAAAACAGACAGAAACCCTTCCTTGGGACTATATTTTAGTGGTAGAGACAGGCAACAAACAAAACAAATGAAAATATGTTTGGTATGTTAGATATAATTATTTCTAAAGGGGACAAAATAGAATAGTTGGGAGGAAGAGGAAACATCAAGGTGAGGGAAGAGGAGCACACAGTTGTATAAAGGGTGACTAAGGAGGATATGCCATTTGAGTCAAGACCTGAAGAAGTGTGGGGACTTAACCAGGTAAATATCCGAGGAAATACTATTCCAAGCAGAAGGAACTGTAAGTGCAAAGGCCCTGAGACAAAATATTTCTAGCATTTTTAAAGAACAGCGAGGAAGCTAATGTGACTATAGTGAAGAGAAAATGGAGTAGACTAGTTGGAGATGAGGTAAGAAAGATTAGTCATTAATAAACTTAGATAAAAGTATTAGAAAAACAGCCTTGGACCTGAGAGATGATAGGGTAATATCATTCACAGAAAATAAAGCCCACAGCATATGTTGAGGAATTTTATATGGGAGATAAGTATGAGAGTCAAGGATGACTACCAACTTTTGGCCTGAAGGACTGAAAGATGGAATTGAGGCATGAAAGTCTAAGGAAAAGATTTAAGATGGAATATGGAAAGTTTAATTGGGACATGTAGAAAGTGACTCTGGGAACCATTGGTAGAGGTATAGGGAAATGCGATAGAACAGGGAAAACTGGGGTTTCTTTATTAAGAAAATTAGTACTGAGGATATGCTGGAACTTATTCCTACTGAGGAACTCTTGGGGCCAAGGTAAAATGAGTCTCAGAGTTAGCCAATGCAAGTTGACATTCATCACCTCCTAAGATCTACTAGTTGAGGGTATGCCTGGGGTATAAGTGGCGGTGGGCTTTTTGAGAGAGAAAGACCTCAGGTAAAGAGTTGCAGGGTTTTCTTGTTGGAAGCCCAGTGCAAGGCCCAGAAGACGTAGAAAGTTCTTCCCCAGCATCTGCCACGATGAGGCATAGTTTTCCCACCTTCCTTATTGAAAAATTGCCTGTATGATAACTGGACGCTTTGCCAGCCAATTGCAAAACTCCACCATCTTCCTTGAAGCGAGACTTGGCCATATGACTAAATTCTAACCAATGAGATCCATTCAGATATATGCAGAATGTGTGTGTGCTACTTCTGGGAAATCTCAACAGGAATGCAGCACCTCTCCTTTCTACTTCCTGCTGTCTGGAATATATGTTAAATGGCTGGAGTACCTAAAGCCATCTTGAACCATTAATTGAACTTGGGAATGGACACCTCACATGGCAGAATAATAACATAAGAGGAGCCAGGGTTCTTGATATCTATTGCAGTCTTGGACTACCAATCTCCCAGACTTCTTGTCGCCTCCATTGTTTAAGTCTTCTGTAATTGCAACCAAACCTATGAGTATCCATACAAAGATTAAAGTGATTGTTTTAATAAAATATTTTTACCTTAAGAACTAAATTCCTTAACCAAGTATTTTCTCTTTTGGTAGTAACCAAGAAGATAAAATGGCAAAAGCACTTCTTACCTTTGGTCCTTTGGTGGGCATAGTAGATGCAGTGAGCTGGCAAGATTATCTGGGAGGGATAATACAGCATCATTGCTCTAGTGGAGAAGCAAATCATGCTATTATCATAACTGGGTTTGATAAAACAGGTAAGTGCTGAGAAGACTTGATTGATTGTTTTTCAGCTTAAGGTGATTGACAAATCACGTTAACCATATAAAAAGTTAAAATGTGGTCGTATATCTAAGTCCTCCTAAGGCCTTTACTATTTTTTCAGTAGACTTCTGGGTAAAGATAACCCCATTGTGTTCTTCCTTATCAATTTTGGTGGATAACTTATTAGAATGATGACAATTACTGATTTAAATAATGTGCATTCTCCATCTGAAGTATTTCGGATAATTGTTAGGAAAATAGAAGTGCCTATTATTTTATCATACATATCTAATAATTATTTTTTCCTGTTTCCAATGCGCTGGAAATGTGTATGTGTTTTCATTCTATGCAAGTTGTGTATTAAGTGAAATGAATTCAAACATATTTTTCCAATAATTGGAGTGTGACACTAAGTACAGCTCAAGTGTACTTAGCCAGCTTAAGTTAGCATTCTGTTACAGTTTTAACCGTTTTGTCAAAGCTAGCTACACTGATCAAGAAATAAACTTAAAGTAAACATGCATTCACACAAATATGAGTTTTTCGGGGTTTGTTGCCAATTTTTGTTTTGTAGGGACTACTCCATATTGGATTGTGCGGAACTCATGGGGAAGTTCCTGGGGAGTGGATGGCTATGCCCACGTCAAAATGGGAAGTAATATTTGCGGTGAGTCATGAATTTGTGTTTAAAACTCCAGGCCAACTGTCAAGGAGGATATTCTAAATATATGAAAATCATAAACTTGTCCAATCCATAATATGTTTCCAACATACTCAGATCACTTTGTAACTGATAAAAATAAAATAGTATTTTAAAGAAGAGACACTATTGCACATATTCATGCTTTAAAAAGGAAGAAAGACTGTAGTAAAAACTAATATAATAAGCAAAACTTAATAAGACAAACTAATAATTTACCAAAGTTAATTACTACAAAATCCAGAGGCTTTTGGATTTAAAAATACTCAACTTAGGAGGCTGAAGCTCTCAAAAAAAAACCCAAAAAACCCTAGTTCCAATTTTACTTTTTATAACTGTATGTGTTTTTCTTGTGTGTTAATAATACTTGTGCAAAAATTATCAAGATTACTTTTTCTTTGGATCAAAATTTATGAAAATGTATGAAAAAAGTATTAGGATTGCTTCTGATTTAATATATTCCTCTTCACCTGCAAAATTCTAATATAGCACCCATGAATGGAGAAGCTTAAGCAAATATCAAATGTGCTCTTTTATAGAATAACAAGGCTTTTTTGTGTGTGATAACAATAAACCAAATTAAAATAGCTAGGTAAGTACTTCAAACTGTATTCTAAAACTTATATCTAAACCTGTTTCTATAATTTTTTATCTGAAAAATCAACATATTTTCTGAATCAACTTAGAATGAAATTATATTGCATATGAGAGCAATCACTTAATTTCTCACTGTAATTATTTTTAGCATACATATATCTTTTTAAAACATTGTAGAACACTGTAAATTGTGAGACTGATAGAGAGTTATAGAAGGTTTGAGAGTTTGTGTTTTAATTCAATTAGTGAGTACTATCTAATGGTTCCATAAAGTAGAATTCATGAGAATTCATAAGTGGCCTGTTTTATCACCCCAGTAAAATATTTACATCAATTACTTATTGAAGAGAACAAACATCATAGAAATCTTTAAGCCAGAGTACTAGCAACCCAATATAGGCCCCCACCTTATAACATCATTTGGGGCTTTTACATTGCTAGAACATCCAAATAAATGACTTCTGCCATTCATTGAACCTTTGCTACTAAACATAAATTATTTCTAACTGTGATGCCTGAGTCTGGAATAACTGGTGGCAGCTTTCAAAGCCTGGATCAGTGGTTGAGTGTCGACCTAAGAACCAGGAGGTACTGTTCGATTCCTGGTTAGGCAGGCTCCATACCCAGTGTGGGGTGTGCAGGAAGCGGCCAATGATTCTCTCTCATTAATGTTTCTATCTTTCTCACCCTCTCTCTTCCTCTCTGAAATCAATAGAATATACATTTAAAAAAATCCCTGGCAGGAAAGTTACAAGAACATAATTCAGACATTGGTTCATAGTTGCCTCTATTATGACTGCATTCTCCACTACCACCTTTTCCCTGACCTCCAGCTCTACTGAGGACAAGATGGAATAATTTCTTCTCTCGGTTTCCCAATTTGATTCTCCAAGGGCATGACTAGTTAGTAATTATACGAGGGTCCAAATTCTTCCTGAAAGTGTTTGTGATCACTTTACTCTTAAGAACAATGGTTTAAGATAGATAGCATTTCATAAACCTAAGAGATTTCAAAAATATAGCTATTTACAATGAAGTCCAGTCTTCAATGAGTTATTTATTGCTTTCACTGTGATACTGAGATTTATGTTCTTGTGAGCTAAGAAAGCATAGTACACATGATTTATTGAATTATTGCTAACTAAAGTGCAAATCTTAAAAGTTTGAGTTTTCAAATTTTATTTATAATATTTCTGTAAATTTTTTTATTGTCTCTAAACTCTTTATATGCAATAAAGATTTCACATACCTTCACCCTAATCAGTTAGTAAGTCACTTTGTGTGTTTTTGAGTATATGTGTTTGTAGTTTCTTGAACAAAAATATTAGTCATATCTTCTAATATCTGATTTTTAGATTGCCATGTTTATACTGACAGCTATATCTGTTAAATTATTTTCTTAGTAGTTACTAACTTTTTCTGAACCTAAATGAACATTGTTTTAATTTCCTATTTACAAAGCATATAAAGAAGAAGTAGACTCCTATTAATAATTTCTTTTTTTTTTTCTTAGGTATTGCAGATTTTGTTTCTGCTGTATTTGTATGACTAATTGATCAAATCAAGAGACAACTACCAAAATGAAGATTCCTAATGAAATGTAGCATGGTATTTCATTCTCAGCATTATTCACCTTTAGGTTTTAGCAACTAGGTTTTAACAAAAGGTTCTAAGACCAATAGTGCTTAAGCCAAGTTATGGCATGTCCCCTTCTTATAAAGAGATGGGCAACCATAGTCAGTAGGAAGAACACCAGCACCATGGCTTGGGAAACAATTTCCTACGCTGGAGTGAATGTTGGATTAAGATACTTTAGGTCTCTGCTTTGAAGAGGCTATTATCTGGTTTTGTTTAATTGCTGTTTTTGTTTGTTTTTTATTTATTTTCAATGTCATTAAAGAGCTGATAAGAATTTATTTTCCTTGTAGGATATAATTACTGCCTTACCTTACCCCAACATAGAAGAATAGCCAACCTAAAGTTATGTGTGCCTCTCACAATTATACTCTTAGCTCTCTGAGCTGAAATGTCATAAGGATTTTGAAATACCAATAGCTTTACCTCAACAAATAGTACTTACTCCTTGAATTGTAGGAAGATTATGAAGCAGAAAACAAAAGGACAAGACCATTTTTTAAGAGATGGAAATTAAGTGACAATAAATTATATGGCAACTATGTGACAAGAACTCAACTAGCATTACCTGAGAAAAGATTATTATTTTGAAATTTTCATTGTCAATAGGATGCCAAGAGACTTCATTTCCTTACTTTGGATCTCATTATATTAAAGGACAATGCTTTCTTCCATATTTTCCTACTCTCTTTCTCTTACTCTTTACTGGGACACTCTTAAATTCTCCTGGTGGTTTGACTTCCCTGGCTAAGAAGTCTCATTGTTTATTTTTCATTTCCATTCTACAACTATTTCTTTTTATTCATCTAAGCCACCAACATCAGACGCTCACCTTTCTCTTCCTCCCATCATTTGTAGGCAACACTCCTTTCAAAGTCTAATGCCATTAATCTGGGTATTAGTCAGAATGTGAGTTTCTCAGGCTCACTGTTTTTTGTGTTTTGTTTGTTTGTTTTTCAGTTTTCTGCTTATGTTTCCGGGAATCTCATTCTAACTACTTTTTTATGTGCATCCATTTGGCTTTGACCTGGTTCCTGGTTCTTCATGCCCATGTTCTCTCTTGCTTAAGTAATTATGTGTGCCTGTGCAAGAACCTCATAGCATAAGAGCTGATCTTTTGATTTTACAACTATATTAAATGAGTTATATAAGAATATAAGAAAATCTAATAAATATTACATATATATTTCTTCTCTAAAATTCATGGTCACTTCCTAATATAAAATATAAAAACACACACACCCAAAAACAAACAAACAAAAAAACACACAATAAAAATAAACACACAGAGTTTTAAATGAAGCAGCAACCACTGAAATAATTGAGAACATCCTACTCTTCCTTTTTTCCCTTTTTACTTTTAGTTATCCACTCATATTATTAGAAAAATAAAATAACAAAACAAAATACTGTATTTTTTTTATACCAACCAGAACCAATATCAACAAATTATGTATTGACTCAGGTTTAGAAATGCTCCAGGAAGACAAATATTGATTAGTTTAATTGATTAATATTCTTATTGTCTAAGTTTGCCAAAATGGAATTGTTTGTGTTTATTTACTGATTTCTATGTGACATAAATGCTTTTCTGATACTCTTTTTTCAAATACTAAACATTTTTGTATTACAAAGTGAGTAATACTTCTCAGCTGCTCTGAATTTTGATGGCATTTATAATAAAACAACCTATATTTGACTTTGGGTTAAAAAGACTGTCCAGAGTGCATGGCTTACATTTTGTGAACACAATGTTACATTCACGTAAGAGTTTGTTCGGTTCCAAATCCACACACTTACTTTTTGGTTTTCTCCATAAACCTTAACCTCAGTGTCTCCAATAAACAACAACAAACAAAAAACCTCCCACACCTTCTAGTCTCTATTTTGGTTAATGGCATCAACATTATGTAATCACCCAATCAGTAAAATTGAGGGACATCTTAGACATTTAATCAGTCAGATATACCTTCGTACTGATCACCTAGTCACCTGCCTCCTCTCCATTTCTACTGCTCCTTTCCAGATGCATTTTCTTTAGTATCTTATCTCTACTGTTTAGCAATCAACCCAATAAACCCATGTTCCTGAAACTAGTGGTTCTCAAAATATAGTCTCCAGAGAAGAAGACGCCAGAGGCTTTGGGAAACACTTAGTTTTAATCAGCCCTCCAGATGATTCTGATGGATGTCCTTCTAATCCATCTACTGTGTGTCCCAGGATTTACATTTCTTAAAGAGAATTTTATCATGTTACTCCCCTATTGCCTCAAAGATAGCATGCTAACTTAAATGAGCTCTCCTGGAGAAGCTCCTCTCTACCGTCTTAGCTCAGTTCCTGCTCTTCTTCATAGACAGCAGCTGTGCTTCAGCCATCACAGACTACTTGGAGTTCACCCAATGAGGCTAAGACAAAAGCAATGAAATCTTCACGTAATAATTAGGCTGCATAATGAAAATGACCAAGATGTCTCTGGATGTGATTTCACAAAGACCTAAAAGTGAATACTAAATTAGACAACCTTACAATTGCTTTGTGACCATTTAAGAGTTATTATTTAATATGGATTGTCAGCACCAGAAGCAAGTTGGAATGGAGACAAGGGTAGAGACTGGTATTTCAAATTGTGTTGACATGTACATTAAGGAGTACTGTTATATCCTTTGAAAAAGCCCTTTCAACCGTTTAGCTTTGTAACACCAAGAAACATAGATGAAAATAATTAAATTGAAGTATTTAGCCTGTTAAAGGAATAAACCTTGACAAATAGCATTGATTCCAAGGTATTAATATATTCATTACTTTATTAAAAAAAAAAAAAAGCAAAGATTATGAGAATTTTATCTCCATTATAAATAGGAAACCGGGGCTTAAATGAGTGTTTGCAGCAAAGTAGTTAGTTAATAAATGGCAGAGCCAGAATTTGCTGATTTAGCCACCATGTTACTTATCTCTATATTTTTCCAGCTTAACTACCACCAGGTACTATGTACATGTGCGCATTCACGCATGCCATGTAGGCAAGAGCAATATGATCGTTATAAGAAAAAAACGTGTAATTGAGACTAAAGAATAGTTCAGTTCCAACAAGAGCTTGCTACCCTAGGTCAAAGTTGGACATTTTTAGATTTCTTTGATAATATTTTGTTCTCCCCTCATAGCAAAATTTAATGAAATGTTACCAATATCCAGAGCAAGCTAGAAAAAGGACTAAAACTCGCGTGTCTGGTCTAAACGCTTAGTCTAATAGTTACTAGCAACGATCTGGGTCATTGTTCAGTCTGTTTTCCTTCCCTTTCTCCTGGAAAGAACACTCTTATCTTGAGGGAACTCTCATCCCTACCTCAAACCTGCTATGCACTGAGGGAGACTGTACCTCCCAGACCACAGCCATTGGTGACTGTGAATACAGTCACTCTGGGAAGAGGGACTTTGTCCTTCTGGGAGTAGAGAGATGCTAGGATTGAGATGCAACCTGTGGGAGGAGGAGTGGGCCTACATCAGAGAACAATAAACTCAGCACCTGCAGAGAGGAGAGGAGACCCAGAGGATCCTCAAAGTGTTCCAGGAATAAAGTATCGATACTTGAGGAGCTGGCTTCACCCCTGTGGCCTTAGAGCGCCACCTGCTCCTCTAATGGAGTAATGTCCAGTGAATGCCCTATGGGCCAGCTTCACACAGATTTCTGTTGATCGCAAGTGTCCTAATAAATACAAGCAATGTTTTCAAAATAATATATGCCAGAAAGAATAATTTTTAAAATATATTTTAATTTTTTTTTTACAGAGAGGAAGAGAGAGGGATAGAGATCTAGAAACATGGATGAGAGAGAATCATTGATTAGCTGCCTCCTGCACACCCCCCACTGGGGATGTGCCCGCAACCAAGGTACTACATGCCCTTGACTGGAATCAAATCTGGAACCCTTCGGTCTCAAGCCAATGCTCTATCCACTGAGCCAAACCGGTTTCGGCAAGAATAATTTTTATTTCTCAAAATTTTTGATTGAATAAGTTTGTACAGAATGACATTTTATTCCATTAAATAGCTGAAGTTTACAAGCTTATAAAATATGTACCAATGAGATAATGATTAGGTTCAATGGTTACATTAAGGTAAATATCAGGGGACAATACATTTTTAATAGGAAAAGACCATATGTACAATGTAACAGTGTAACTGGATTCATTTCTCAGTGTCTTGTATCTTCATGGAAATGCTTGGCCTTACCGTAATAAATGAAATAAAATTCTTTCCGGGGTTGGATCAGAGCACCACAGTGCTTTACTACATATATACATGTATTACCTTAGAAGTCTGTGTATTTATGAAAATGCACAGGAAAAACCCCACAGAAATCAGTGTTCTTCATAGACTTTAATCTGATTCTTCGCTGCTGAAGTAAGAGCTGTCACAATATTCAGTGGTGTAAAGAAATTTGCGAATAATTGGGGTCATCTTCGGTATCCAGTGTCGGGGAATCAGAAACGTTGAAAGATTAAATAAATCTACAAATACCTTGTACCTATCACTGGAAAAACATATACAGGTGTTTTAGGTTTATTGAAATGAAATATTTTAAAATTTTCATCAATTTTATTTCTCAAACAATATTTTGCCGTGAATAACTAGTATTCGATACTATATTTTATATTACGTATTGTATATGTCATATATTAAGTACTATTAATATTAAGATTGCACCATTTTTTATTTTGTATCCAAAGTTCATGCCCATAAAACCACATTATTGATCTGATCAAGCTGTTTCAGATTAAAACCTAGCCTTATTATTGTCTCATGTTGAACTTTTAATCAGCTTAACAATAACCCACAACCTTCGGACCAACTTCATGTTGAACTTTTAAACAGTATTCAAAATAATAAAGCATCCAGAGTTTTTAGTCATTCATTAGAAAATATTTCCCACCTGCAAAGTAGCTGCCAAGTAACTGATATAAATTAATTTATAAATCAAAATGCCACCTTTGATTTATAATAAATGTCCAACAGAGAACTTTTACACTAAACATTGCTTTTGTGTTTGTTAGTCAACTATTTATTTTATTTTATTTATTATTTTAACTGTTGCAGTTTTATAGTGGAAGAGCATTTGCCTTTGAAGTCAAATTTGAGTTCAAATCCTGTTCTGTCACTTCCAATTCCTACAATCTTGGATTTGTTGTCTAAACCTCACTGTCTTGGTTTCTCACTCTGTAAAATAAAAACTACAATCCCTGCTTCTGGCCAGGCCTTTGTGAGGAGTTGATGAGATAATGACACACCAGAAATGCTGTTAATTAGTGTTAATTATTCCCACCGCTGGTGTGTGTGCTCATTTTGTAAAATAATTTTATCTTAGATATTTATAGGATTTATTCCCAGGGAAAGAGAAAATATATAATGGTTGTGAAAATTTATACCAATGAATTTTCCAAATGATTCAACCTAGAGTTTCTTCCCAGGGTAAGTGGAAGTATAAAAATGATGAAAAATTGAACCTGTGCATTTTACAACTTAGCCAATCTGGTGGTACAATTAGGAATGAAAACAATGTACTCTAAGGAATTTTGGAGACTAAAGGGAACTATCTAAACATATTCTTGATTTGGTTACCTTTCCTCAAATTGTTTGTAAGGTTCTCAGTTTTCAGATGCATCTATCTATGGATCCTTCTATCTATAAGGCTGTGAATATTAAATACAACAAGAACACAAATATCCTAGAAATAGTATCTCTACCATGGTTTAAATGCTCAGTAAATGTTGAACTTTTTCTTGTAAAAAATTTAAAAGGGCACTCCCTGAAGATAAAAGTAGTTTTCATGCTAATATATAGTCTTATCAGGAAATAAGAAACTATATTTTTAGCTGTATCATTCATCTCACCAAGAGTACATTAGTGGACGTAATGATAACTATTTTAATCTAGTACAAACTTCAGCCAGAACGAGGTGACATTTTCTACGTGTATTGACGCCTCCATGCCCTCACAGGCATTGGTACCATGCCCCTCATCATCACAAGATGAAAATAATAAACTTCCAGAACTAAGAATTTATACAATGATCTCCAAAAGTTCTAATAGGAATGCCTTAATCTCACTGCAAATGTGTTGTCAGCAGACAAGAGCAAGTATAAATGACTTTTCCTATATAATGCCATGAATACATGGAGAAACAAAAACCTGGTGATTTCCACCAAGATGAAAAGGTGCGTTCCCCATCTTACCTGACTGTTGAACGCAGGTACTGGTAGCCTGAGGACCCCCCAGTGCCAGCTTTGCTGCCCAGCATTCTGTGCACCAGGCACACGTGGTTATCTAGGCAAACACACAAATTAACTCCATGGATACTTTTCTAAAAATCAGGGGTTGATAATGATGATTGCTTCTGAGAAAAAGGCCCACCCCTTATCACTTAGCCATATGGAAGGT